TCACCCTTTCACACACATTCACAGTGATGGCAAAGCTCATCGAACAGAAACATTAAAGATTGTTTCACAGATTATCTGTCTCATGTACTACTGTCAGGATATAGTGTAAGTTACAGCAAATATGATATTAAGTTATTTTTACAAAAGTTATCTACTGCAGTTTTGATTTAGATAAAATTTTTTAAAAAAAGAATGTGTTAAAAAATGGAAATTAAGATGTAATGTAACACATTTCAGACTCAGCGATGATCAATGAAAAAACACAATGTTTGGAAAAAAAGATTTATTTATTTATTTATTTGTCTTCATTTGGGGGCTTTTCCAAGCAAATATTGATATATGTGATTGTCTGTGAATAAATGAGCAGATATTTCTGCCACCCCTTAAAATCTCCATGACACCCTCTGGACACCCCAGGAATATTTCTCTAGATCCACCCCTGCTGAGGTCAACATAACAACAAGAGCCATACGGAGGACAGGAAGTACTTTCACTCATATGCAACAAAGATTTAATGTCCCAGTAAACAAATACAAACATGATCCTTCCTCAAACAAACTCACCATCCTCAGTCTGGACCAGTGCTGAACATGAAAAGAAATGCAACAAATAAGCAAACAGATTAGTTTTAGACTGTGCAAACTGTATGCACACATTTTTTGTTTTAGAAATTCTGTTAGCCTGTTTCTGTTTTGAACTTTTTCGAGTAAGCAGGACAACAACCTCTGTACGGATTTCAATATTTAAATGTTGTCAGTACTGTGCTGAAACTCACTCCTGTATCAGTGTGCATTCTGACTGTTAGGGTGTTTCCTGCTAAACTCTTTCCCAGAGGAACGACTGAACAGAAGAGCAATAGTGTCACCTGCTGGTTCAACTGGGAAACACAACCACTACAGACCATTAGAATGCTACAGACGACAGAAGGCTGTGTTGTGTACCAACATCGTTTCAGTTTTTGATTTGGTTTGTTTGCTTGTTTGGGTTTTTTCTTAATTTATCACTTATATTTTTGTAATGTATTAGAGACCGAGCACTGACCAGTGCAAGGACCCTATTGTTCCTGTAGGAATTATTATTATTTGGGAACACTTCGACTGCA